CGACTATCACCCTCCTTGTAACGATTATTGATCGCCTCTTGTATGCGGTCATTATCACCGCTCCATGTCCATTCCGTTGGCAATGCTGTGGGACGACGTTGACGCCATGGTGGCTCAAAGTTGTAATCGGAGTTAGCGCGTCTACGCGGCTTAGGCGCCTCATGAATGCTCGGATACGACCACTCACTAGCCAATATTTGCGAATCAGACAGTCCGTGATAGCCACCATATATGCTGAAGTCATCCTCCTCTGGCGGTGGCACACGTACAGCGCCCAACGCACCAACCACTTTGGCCAGCAGTTCGGTCGTCTGCAGAAAAGCGTCTGCGTCTTGAAAGGATTTCTGCTTATCCAGTTTATCGAGCGCAGTATCGGAAGAAGCGTGAACCGGTGCGAGTGCGCCGCGCGCTTCGATGACGTCATAAGTTTCGGAAAATGCGCGCTTACGCGGGAATTCAGGTGGCGCATCCTCGCGATACATGGTGAGCTCGGGTGCGGAGCTCGAACGGTGCAGCTGCATTGTTGGATCTGGTTCGGCGTAGACAGGCTAGTTGAAAGGTAGGAAAATTAATTAATTGTACGAAGAGCGGATTAAATTTATTAAATTTTATAAAAAAAATTATAAAAAATAATATTTGCGTAATCTTTGCGTTATCTGCACATTAATCATCCAATTTTTTTAGAAGTTTTTATTTTTATTTTTTTTTATATAATAAATTTTTAAACAATTTTTGTTTCTTTTATTGCTGTTTATTACTAATTTTAAATACTTACAGCAAATTTCTTGCGTCCAATATTAAAGATTACTTTAGTAAAATAACTATAAAGAATTAAAAGAGAATAAAACTTTTCTTAAATCACTTTGTTTGCTGTCAACTATGTTTAACCCGCTTAGTAATTGTGGTACACAAAAATAACACTTTTAAAAGTTGCAGGAAACAACAAAATTGTTCAATTATTTTAAGGTTAAAGTTTTAGACCCGTTATTAATGGTGTGTTATTTGTTAAAGTGCTAATAATTCACTTTTATAAATATTCTACTTGAAGGTATTAAATTATTTTATGTGAAAATAACCCAAGATTACTGTATACTAAAAAGTTACTAGCTATTGGAGTAAAATAATAAAAAAATAAATTAAATAAATAAGTACTTAACAACAAGATTATCTTCTATTTACAAATAAGTTTCCAGTTTTTTTTTTCAATCATCTTACCACGCTCATCATTATATAAAAAAATCTGGTAGCATTTGTGTTAATAAAAATAAATTTTACTTCCAATTAATATCTTTTTAAAAAATTCTAAAAATGTAAATAGCAGCTATTTAAATATTAATTTATTTACATTAATACTTATTGATAAATCGTCGCAATAAAGTTGAATAGTGTGAACATCTGGTTATGTAAACAAAGCATTCACGGAAAATAACAACACATCTTTTTATAATAAAATTACGTTTTGTTGAGCATTATTTTATACAAAATTAGGAACTTCGATTTTCGAGCTCCTTCGTGTCATGTTATAAATGGCGTTAGTGCAGTATTTTAAATCGATTTTTCTATCGACTGTCATTAATATTTGTTAATTATGACAAAAAAAAATCCGAACATTTGATAGAGAGACTTCTAAACTCACTTAGCTAAATTTTATTTTAAAAAGTAGTTTGCAGACATTTCGAAAAACATTTTCAAAGTACTACTATGTATACTAATTATGTTTCAAAGTTCTAATATGTGTAATTTTAGCATTGAATTTCCAATTCAAATGAGTTATACTTTTGGCGACGTTAAATATAGACTAAATATTTAAATTATATTATAATACATAATAAAACTATTTTTGTTATTGTATTCATATTATTTTTTTTTTTACCTTCACTCTCAGTATATACAGCTCATTCAAAATCCTTCGTAAATGTCCGACATCTTTTGTAACACCACTCCATATGCGATTTTGTGTTGTTTTTATATTCGTAGAGAGTTGTTGTTCTAAACGTTTTAGTTTCTTACTTTGTAAACCACTGCAAACGATTTTGGAAATAAATGTAGGGTGCAAATTTATTCAATGATCATATTAAATACGAATTATAAATATTATATGTATGTGCAATTAGTTATTCACAACCAGTATGAAACTTTTAATGTGTTAGCGATGAGATTGCATATATTAAAATGTATAAATTCTTTTATAAAAACATTCATTTGTATATGTTACATATTTAAAAAAATATATATATCAACGTAAAACTTATTTCTTATTAAAAAAAAACCCAACATAAATAATTGTAAAATATTCTTTAGAAAGAAATGGTAATGCAAAAATAAATTAGTTTGAATAAACTGTATACATAGAAATATTGTAATATAAAAGTACCGAACACCTTTTTATATACATAGATACACATAAGTATATTTTTTGTGCTCTCTTAGCGTCTCAGATAATATGAATATCTTATGCTGTATTGTGATGGCCAAGGCGGCAGTTTTCAGCCCAGGGCAATATATGGTAAAAAACCGTGGTAGTTCATACGATGTGCCACCAAGTGATGTGACGTGATATCATATCACCAGTAATGATTGGGGCGGATGCAGCATCGCCTATATAAGAAACTGTGGTATCTGCCTACAAGCCGTTTTAAAGACGTCATATGATATGACTTGTATTAAATGATGTATGGTAGCTGTGATGTGACGTGACATATATAAGAAACAGTGGTAGCTGCCTGCAGGCGGTCCGAAATAGCGTCATACGATGTGACCTCATGTGTTGTGACGTGATATCATATGATGCGTTTTAAGTGCTGTGACAACGAATGGCTTATCGACTATATATGAAACTGCTAATTTTAGACGGTGCAGAGTGATGTGATGTGATATATGTGATATTATGTGAAGAGTGCTATGACACTGAATGCCTTAGGGAGTACGTGATATAAGAAACCATAAACCTATACTAGCAAAGGAGGCAAACTAACTGACCGCAGCAGCTACCAAGAGGTTTTTGATTGATTTTATAAAGTATTATAATAATGTTTTGAAAAAAGTAAATAAAAACCTGGAGATTTAAAATTTTTAAAAATATACATAAAAAAGCTCGTTTATAAAAATATTTTATAATAGCACCAAATTTTAAAACGAAATACTCAAAATTTTATATAATTGTTAGAAACTATTTTTCGACGATTTAATATTTAAATATATTACAAATTTTAGTAACGATATTAGTTGAAGAAAAAATATAAAACGTTCAAAAAAAAACATAAGTTTACATATACTCGTAGCATTTAATGAAAGTATTAGAAAAATATTAAAAGTAAGGCATTAATAATAAAACGTATTTTGCACTTCGATTAGCTAGACAATACACATGAACACACATACATAGATTCCCACACAAATATTTATTTTTAAATATAAAAATAAAAATATTAAATAATTACCGTGTTATGAAGCCCATAATCATTACTAAGTATCCCAAAGCGAATATAAACCAGAATATGACGAATATCTCATAAACCAAAAACCAACCGCCGAACTCGCGTGGCTGAAGTGGGAAGAGAAAAATTAAAAATTTCATTTCACAATCATATCTTTTAATAATAAACCACTAAACTCACCTGATCTGCTCCAAAAGTGGGCACGTAGTCACCGAAACCAATAGTGGTTGTAGTTACATAAGCGAAATAAATCGAAATGGAGTAAGACCACTTCTCGAAATAAGTAAACACAAGCGCCGGTAACAGTATAAAAATACCAATACCCGGTATCAAGGCGATCAGTATAGCGGTGAGCAGACCCAATTGTGGTGGCACATAATGTTTATCGCGTGTTAGTTTGAACTTTTTATAGCGGCGATAAATTAACTCGAACTAAAAGTTAAAATTTAGATATAATTATGTTAATTTAAAAATATTATAAAAAGTATTTAGTTTACTAACCGTTTTGCCAAAGTAATCACCCAAGCCCGCAAAAAGTATACCATTAACCGGTATGCCAATGATCGAGTAAAATACCATAATCAGCCGTCCCGCTAATGTGGTGGGATATATATTGCCATAACCGACGGTTGAGCAGACAGTGAAGGCAAAGAAAAACGAATGATAAAATGTCCATGTATAAGGTGGCTCAAACTCATCCGCTGTATAATTGGTCACCTTTTTGCCGCAATAGTCGGAAATATTCTCAAGTATCTCTGTGACGGTTGTCTCGTTCTTGCCGGCTAATTCGCTTACAAGGTATTCTGGGAATAACATTTAAAAAATTACAGAAATGTTTAAAGCAAAGGAATGGTTAAAATATGTGGCTTTATTAATAAATAAGATATATAACCGAAACATTATTTGAATACTTTGTTCCTTTGTCAAATAATTCGTACTCACTCCGAAAACAATTTTATTTTTTACTATTCTAATACTTTTTATTTTATAACAATAACAAAAACTTCAAGTTAAGCATCCATTAGGCAAATTCGGAGTCACTCCGAAAACTTAAGGAACCAATTTGATATTTGTTTTCTATAACAACAATAAAAACTTAAAGTTGCGAGTCATTTTGCAAATTCAGAGTTACTCCTAAAACTAAAAAAATATACTTTGAGACTATTTCTTTTATTACAAAAATAAAAACTTTAGTTTTAAAATGCCTGACGTAAATTCAGTGTCACTACGAAAGTAGACAAAGCTATCCGAAAACTGTATCTACCTTTACAATGATCAAAACTGCAATTTACGAATCGTATTCGATTTTTATAATCAGCTCTATTCTTACATTACCTAAGCAATGTCAATTAGTTACTAATCAGATTAATTGAATTAGTTTTAGCTTACAACAAAATAGTTTAATGTAAATATGATTCTGATTCTGCTATTCTTCACCTGGTACAACTTTCGACAAAAGAAGAGCGACACTTCTTATTAAGAAGACGTGAAGGCACTACAGTCACTCATAAATATACTTATAGACATCATATAAGCAAACATGCTCGCATCAACCATGTAAACATGCACAGCTTGAGATTTACAACAATTTAAAGCAATAATCATAATAACACAAGTGACTTAGTAGTGCAATATACTTGCACTTAATCGGTGTCTTGCTTATTGTTGCTCAGTTGCTTTATTTGTGCGACAAATTGCATTTGGCAGCCACTTGACAACCACGGACATTCGAACAGCTGTTCGCCATTGTCAAAATACAACACTACTTTGATTTGTTGTCGCTTTGTCCAGGCTGTTTGTTTGCATAAGTTAAACGTTTTGCTTAAATTAGTAGCAATTTTCAGTTATTAACATTATATTTTCTTGCAATCTACTTTTTTTCTTCCTTTGTAGGAATTGCCAGGAATTGTGTGTGAATTAAGAAAACTGTAGGCGTTTATGACTGTGTAAATAATTTGAAAATTGTGCTATTTCTTTTCTTTGGAGAATTTGCATACACAAACGGAAGCAGAAAAACATGTCGCAAAGGTAATGTCGGGCGTATTTAATTAGAAAATTTTTCTAACCATTATGACCTCTGCGAACGCTTTAGAAAATAAGAATATAGCTCTAATCAACAGTTTTGCATTGCTTTCGTTGTGTTTATTAATCAAAAAATGTGCCTCAAAATTATAATTGCTTGCATTAATGATTTGACATTGGAAAACCATATAAAATATTCAGGCGGCATTAACATAAGCAACAAATGGAGTCGGGTCTAGACACTAATTAGTTACATGAGAAAGATAATGCTAAAGCATTTTTGACCCTCAGAGCCGTTTTCCCACTAAGCTAATTAGATTAAGCGATAGGAAAATATATTGCAGGATCAATCGGTTCTCGTGGTCTTGTAATAATTTTAATAATAATAATACTAATAATTGCTGAGATCCTTAAACCTTCGCAATTTTTTTTCTGTAGCTGGACTCGTCATCCGATTGCTTTGGATCTAAAAGAAGTCACCTTCGAACAATGTTTTTGTTGTTTTATCGGCACAAAACATTTCTCAAATAGTTGTGATGAACGCTGCCGAGTTGACAGCTCTTTGGTCAGATAAAAATCCGGCTGTGCTCCGCATACGTAAACCTGACTGTCCTGTTACCTAATACCTTCGGATAGATGCATGCGTTAAGGTGCTTCTGAAAGCGAACTGAATAACTTTCTTTCAAATTTACAGAAGATAAATCTTCCAAGTTGCCGATAGTTTAAATTTTGAAAACTCACCTTTCGCTTAAGGACCAATTAAACTATGTAAACACCGAAGCGCAAAAGTTTATCAGGTTCAAATTCATTCTAACTAAGTTCAAATTCAACGCGAAACTAAGCCTCAGCTGGGCTTTAAAAGCAAGCAATGGCTGAGAATGAAGAAATAATGTCATTAAAGAACCTCATGAACCGAACTTCTATCTGCGAATTGCTGTTGAATTGAAACGAAATCGATCTCTTTCTGAAGTAGATTAGGTTAATGAAAAGTGGTTGTTTAACGACAGCTTCAAGCGAAAACGGGCGTGGTCGAATCGCTAATGAGTGGCTCCCTTACAAAGAGGAATCGTGTACCATCAAGACAACGCCCAGCCACACACATCGATAGTGACTCGCCAGAGACTCCAGGAGCTTGGTTGGAATGTTCTTATGCCAACTTATAGTCCGGAACTGACACCAAGTGTGCACTACCTACTCCTGTCTATGACTAATAATTTTGCTGTTGAAAAATTCGCCTCAAGAGAAACTGGTGAAAATCGACTATCGTAGGTTTTGCCAATAGTGACGTGGTTTTCTATCTAAATTGCATTATTCTAACTATGCTAAATAAGACTTTCAATTCATTGAAAAAAAAAATAACATATAACCGTTTTTAAAATTTTTCCCTTCCTTTTGACTTCTACAAAAAAGTTCAAACTCTACTTTTAACGGCTAGCAGCAAACATTTTATACAAAAATTATAAAATTTTAATTTTGATACCCTTAACAGGGTGTATTAAGTTTGTCACGAAGTTTGTCACACCCTAAAGGAAACGTCGGAGACCCTATAAGGTAGAAATATAAATAATCAGCGGTAGGAACTGAGTCGATTTAGCCATGTCCTGTTTTGAGATGTTCAGTTTTTGAGATGTTGAGACACACACGTCCTTTTCTTTCCAAGAAGCTGCTCGTTTGCGAGAACCGCCGATATCGTATCACTATAGCATATAGCTACCATACAAACTGGCCGCTCCAAATCAAGACGCAACAACTCAGAATATATCGATCAGATCGGGCTACTATAACATATAGTTACCATACTAACTTACACTTCAAAGCCAACATAACGATCTTTTTATACCATTTTATGCAATAAGAAATGCACATGTGAAGGGTATTATAACTTCGGTGCAGCCAAAGCTAACGTTTTCTCTTGTTTTGTTTTGTTTTCTTTTGTTTGCATAGAACCATACATAAATTTGTTTCTGTGCAATACTATGTAGTACGCTTTATACTGCCAGCGAAGCATTTTATTTTGATTGCATTTGCGAAATATAACTGATAAGCGATACAAATACCTAATCTTAATGTCGAACAGTGAAACAACTACTAAGTCAACAAAACCAAATGAAATTAAATAAATAAAATGTCATTAAGTTATTGTAAATGTCAATAAAATGTACTTAAAGTAAAATAGGAGCGTCACACTGTGAGTAAATATGTGCAAATTGAACGGTATAGCTATATGTAAATGTTTATATTTATATATAAAAACATGTGTAAGTACTTATGCACACCTAAAATTACATAAAACACAGCTGCCATACAAAATGCGCCATTTAAACGAAATTAATTAATTAAAATAAATTGGTAAAAATCGCTGATTCACTGATATTAGCTATCAGTCTGTATAATAGTATAAATTATGTATGCGGAAAATGCGATCATGCATAAAAATAGGCGACGAAAGTGAAAAGTATAAAACTGAAAGCGTTACTTGCACTTAAAATCACAGACAATATATCGATAACACGTGCAATTAAAATCGATTACAGCAAAATATGTGCTACAATTTGTTTTTCGTCTTTTTATTGTTAATTTTCACTGTCACTATGTCAGCGCATAGCCGTGACACCGTAAATACCGTTACTTCCGAAAGCCATCAATTAGTGACATCACACGAAGTGGCGGCGGCAACTACAATGAAACATATGACAAACAGACAAAAAAAAGAATGTAATGTTTAGAGGCATATTACATAGTTATTTAGAACAAGACAATGCCAGAAGATTTTGATTTTGAGCAGAGATTTATTTTGAGTGCCGCAATCTATTCACTTGAATGCGCGCACGAAGTTCTCGTGGCTAAACACACGAGCCACCAATGAAGATATAATATATAATACTTCCGCGTCAAAATACGCATACACAAACACATGCTTTGTAAGCCGAACGCCCACTTATCCCCACTAAGCGCATGATATTACAACGCCGAAGTCTCATAAATCGGCTATGCCGCTGCTCAGCAGCTTTGAGTTGTCACTTTTATGTGGTTCATTGGACATTTTGCTTAATTTACGCTACTTTAGTCGCACAGCTAAATTTCAATCAACTAAACGAGACAAAAGAAAAATTTGCAAAAAAAAAATACTGATCGTAGGTGTGTTTCACATACAAATTAATTCATGCGCGAGCAACAAAGTTCGTTTACGGAAGCGCTTTTACGACGATACATTACCGAAATAGCTGTGTTTGCAGTTTCGCTGGTCATTGGTCGTTGGGCATTCAGCCTGAATTTGCATATCATTTTAAGCAAAATACGTGTGAGTGTGGTTTACAACTAACCTACAACAATACCAACTACTTAAATAGGGGTTAGCGGCAAAAATTTCAAGTTCGATGTCAATGTTTTGTTTGATTTCGTTTGCGTTTGAGCGCTCATTGATGAGTTTGTGGGTCGGTAGGTGCAGTTTGGCGTCGCTGGTTTTCAGAACTTACAATAGATTTATTGAATGTTAAGAAAATACTTCCTATAGTTCCAGTAATACCAGGCTGAACGTATCTTCAATAGACTTAGTAAAGTTTTGAACATGTATTTAATTCAAACATCCCCTCAGAAGAAAGTTTTGTGCTTCAGTTGGCTTGTTATATATTTCTTCTCATTTTACACGCTTGTTTCTTCGTTCGTTTGTTGTACGCTGAAACTGGGACTCCACGTCTCAAGACAAATTAGAGTTAATACAGGGATCCCTTATGAAATCTCGGTATAAAATCAACGACTTGAGCTGTTGTACGCTGAAACCGGCACTCGACGTCAAAAGACAACTTGAATGAGAGTTGCCTACGAAACCTCAACTGTGAAATCATCAATGAAATAAACACCTCGAAGTATGTAAGAGGATCTACTCCACCCAAAACCACTGATTTATGACGCCTTTGATGCACAGAGCTACACGAACTGGTGCTCCATGTGCAATAATGTGAAAAGTGCCGTTATAATAAATATGTAAATAAATATGTAAATATTTAAATACGTCAGTAGAGATTAAAAATATCTTAAAACTTGCTATTTCTTTCCAAATTTCTCTTTTCGTTGGTCAGTTAAAAGTCTTGTGTGAAAAGTTTGATCCCACAAAAAGAGCAAATATCTCAGCTAAGCGTCTGCACTAATTTGCTTAAACAAATTAGACAACTTTTATAGTTACTTTACACAAGTAATAAACGCCTGACGAAATAAACGCTAATGAATTGGATTTTTATAGTCGCACAATGAGCGCGCTCGTGAGACTGACAGTGATGTGCATATAAACTGACGTGTATCGAAGCATCGATAAACAAACAAACCCACATTCCAACAGCAGCTAGTTGTAGCAGATTATAAATAATTATTATAAAAATCAGTTGCCGAAGTGTTAACGAATTGCCAGAAGCATAGCAAATCGGGCACGAACGGCAAATATTTGCATTTCAACGGTTTGTAATGCAAATTAGGTGGATATGCATATTTTACTTGTACAAATTACTAAAATTAACCTTTTTTTTTTTAAAAATCAATTAATAAAAAACTGTGTCGCATATGCTTTGAAATGCAGCGTAAATTGCTTTAGCAATTGCCCTCGCTTTGACTCATGCACAAATTTATTCACGTTTGCATTCTTTTTACTAGGCCTCAATCAAATTGAAGATTGTGCGAATTTGAGCTTCAAATGTATTTCAAGGCGAAAAGTGGCGCATCTAAGCCCAATATAATGTCTTAAGAACTCAAAGCACTGAAGAATTAAACACTCAATCCATATTGACTGAATTCAGATGTGGAAATTTATTCAAGACAGAAACATCGATACTGAAATAAAATCTGTTAAAATCCTATATTAATTTCCCATCTCAAATAGTACAATTGTTTAAAAGAGTAAGAAAATGCAAGAAAGAAAAAAGGATCGCTCAGTTTGAATTGTTCCCCCGAAACCACGGAAATTAAATTTCGGAATCCCGAAGGTTTTTGTACTTTATTCGTTATACAATATTACT